TGCGCCGGTGTGAGCTGGTCTAGGGCAGCTGGGTCGAGAGGTGCTGCATCAGCGTCAAACGTCAGAGACGAAGATCTGGTGCCTCCTGTCCGTGTGGTAGACGAGGAAGACGACGTTCTTCTCACGGGACGATTTGAAGACCGATTCAAGAGTCTGTCGACCTCTTCCTCATCTTCAGGCAGGTGAATTGGACCTGTTGGACGTCCAAACAGGTTGAGACCGAAAAGCGTTATCCCGTTCTTGGATCGCTTCTTTTTCTTTCGTCTAGTGTTGCTAGAGCCCAGATTGGAGTGAAGGGAGACCGTCTCTGCTTCCGTGTCTGTATCCTGGGGATCTGCGAGAAGAGACTCGAGATGCTGGGGAGGTCGACTACGTGATGATGAGGTTCGGAGAGAGTCATGGTCGATGTCATTAGAAGCGTTGAAACATGGCAGACACGAGCCTATTGTTGCTGAAATAGCGTCTGACCACGAAGGAGAGTCCATTGGGGAAGATACAACAAGAATTGGACGGAGAAAGAATATAGGCGACGAGCGAAGTGGAATCCGACTCAAGAACCTGGACAAAGCATGGGATTCTGCTTGCACGTGCATCATTATGTTCCGGTCGAGCGCTACCGAAACCCGACTTCCGGCAGTTCTGTTCAGCTCAGCAACCTCAGCTCATCCGCATTTCCAGGTGCTGTCGGTGTGATATAAGTAGATCGAGATTTTGAAACGTGTTAGAGCTCGTCGATCACAGAATTATCATGTTAGAAGACTGGTCTCGAGATCAGGTTGTCAGGCGGAAGTGAGAGACGGAAAGCTATCTGACATTTGAAAAATTCGCGCGAAGTAATACGTACAACTAACGTACAGTATACAGTAAACAAGGTCGAGTAGGATATATGTGGTATATGAGCTGAAAAACGAATCCACAGGATGGCTAGATACAGGAAAATGGGATTGTATCCAAGTGATAATGGTTGCACAACGAAAGGTGGGACATATTTAGATGAGCCATACATAACAGAGATGAGAAACAAACCTGGGTATGTAGAAGAATCCGCATCCTCACTCCACCGCGTCTAATCATACCTGACTCCTCAATAGCGAACCCTTCGCAAAGACATTTCCTTCGGCTACCTGCACAAGTGGCTGGGCTGGCACCCTTCTCTTCGTCGTCATGGATCTACCCAACCCCCCTCCACTGGTGGCAGGGGCAGACATAGGTACTGCCTGTGAAGGCGGTGGCGCAAATAAGACATTACGTTCTTGATATAGGACGTATGACTGGAAGAAGGGAACGAGATCACGGTCAATGTCCCGGTACCACGGAGGAAGGAAACAAACAACACACCCTAGCAATTCTGATTCTTTGCATCCACTTCTCTCCCTCTCCTTCTCTGGTGCAGAAGATGTGCATGTAATCATTGGTATCTTCGAACAAACTCATTTTGTCCGTGCTCTTGATTCCAAACGTATATTCCTTCGGGGTCTTTGACGGCGGATGTATGAAGTGATAGATGTCGAAGTTGGATAAGCTCGCGAGCAGTGTTTGATCTTTGCACTATACAGGGCCACCAACGTGAGCGCGGGATGCATATGGAGAAAACACTGAGAAACTTACGTTGTCCCTCTTGCTAATGAACAAACAATGGTCCTTCAGAACCAGCCACCTCTTATTCCATTTTCCCCTTCGAACCTCGTACTCGAGGTACCCGGAATATGTGGGGGCCGCAGCAGGTATTGCCTGTAATTAGAAGCCACATAAACCCGAGCGTCACAAAACAGGCGAGGATCAAGCACTTACTTCTCTCCTCAACATCTTCTCCCACCCCGGGGTCCACTTGATCATAAATGCGTTTTCCGTCTTTTCTTTATTCCAAGAGCCCTGTACCTCCACAAGCTGCTCAAATGCCCGTATCGGTCTCTCCAATCCCAAGTCGGCGTTGAGTTCCCAAACCACCCACCCCACACCCTGCGCCCCCTCACCAGCGTCCGTCCCAAACTGGACATCAGGCAGCCCACCCTTAGCTTTAACCATCCCAATGACGTCCCCCGCATTCGTCATGCTGGTGATCTCGACCATCACGAATCTCTGTTTCGTCGAAATATACACCCGCAGTTGTTGCGTCTCGAGCTGAGGCAAAGGAGGCATCAACTCGACAGGCGGAACTTCAACTTTCTCGCGTGGATGTTCAGAGCTGGAACGACCACCCCGTCGGGACTCAGTACTGCGTCTGGCAAGTGGTTCTGCCTGGTTTACCGCAAGAGCTCCAAACTCGTCTGTCGGGTATGGGCTCTTTATTGGTGGTGGCCTGGATCTTGATCGCGCGCTGGTAGTGGTAGCGGCGGGGGGTTGAGGGGGTAACGGAGGTGCGGATTTGGTTGCCATCATCTGGGCCGCCGTGTGAGGGTGGGCATTGGACTGTGATCGACCCCTCGTATGTGAACGCGTCAAGCCGGAGGCAGTGGCCGGTGCTGGTGCAGGGACTGGAGGTGAGCTCGCATGCCATTCCTGGTGACCCTGTTGGTTGAGGTTGGGTTTGTGGAATGATCGCATGGGTCTCAGAGTCCTAACAGGAGCATCGCCAGTAGTTGAGCTGTGATGTGGAGGGAGGTTCTGACTCGGTGTCGCGGGGACAGGTGGTACGGACCCTCCTTGTGCCGCGTTCGGAGGATTCTCCCCACTGATGGTGGTGGTCCTTCCTCTCCCCATTCGAGCCCGAAGCCTCACTGTACCAGCTGGGACAGACGGTGGCAATGTCGTTTTGTCTACGACTGGCGGTGAGGAGTGATGAGGCGACGCCGGGAAAGCGGTGGAATTTTGGGTAGTGGAAGTATGTTTCAGAGGTTTCGCCGTGGCGAAAGAGGAGATTGGTGTCACGTAGGGTGCAGAGGGCCCTGACACCGGTATGGAGGCGTGAAGCATTGCTTCCTGCGTGCTCGACATTCCGCCTACACCGAGAGCGCTACCTATATTTGCACCATTCGCACCCGAGTTGCCCTTGATCGCAGCTTGCTTATTCCTAGCAGCCTTCTCCTGTGCCTTCTCCAACTTTCTTTCCTTCCTCCTCTGTCGATCTTTTATCCGAATACTTTGTTGTGCTCTTAGAGCAGTGGGGTGTGACTTTGCCAGCGGAACATCGTCCTCTTCAGAGTTGGATTCCGGCGAGGAAGAGGTCTGGTGCTGATGGGTAACACGAGCATCACTAGGTCGAGGAATTGCGCCCGTGCGAGTATTGCTGCCGCTTTGATTGTGACGAGGCAACTGCCCACTGTGCGACATTCTGGAAGTATGATGCACCTCTGAATTTCCTCCGCCTTCTTCCGAGTCAGAATCCTCATCTTCCGAATCATCCTCTTCCTCAGACGATGAGAAGTGTTGAGAGAAGTAATAGTCGAGGTGATCTCCGCTATTACGACGTTCGTCATCGTCCTCGTCATCTCTCCCCCCACCACCAGAGCCAGCTCTTCCACGGCCCCCATTCGAATACGAGTATCCACCGTTCATACACCCATTACGATAGCCATGCTCGCCAGATGTTCTCCCTCCATTGGTGTAACTAGACCGCGATTGCCCACTTCGTCCTCGCTCGTCTCCGTCAACTGCTTCCTCCTTCGTCGAAGATTTATAGCCCAAATCAGCAGCACGCTCATCCTCCTCCCAGATAGATTCCATATCCTGAGAAGCTCTAGCTCCCGAGGCACGTAGTGAGAGTCTGAAAGGGAATTGGAGGAAACGAGAGGTGGCGCCTCTTTCTACCTCTGCCTCTCGTCCGATTGTCCTTTCCCGTTTATCCCGTCGTCGTTGCCGTTGGTCGAACAGCATGTCCGTTTTACCTTCGCACGTGTAGTAGTGTGAGTGTTGTGGTAAGGGAATCGAGCTGCCGTGAGGACGAGATTCATCGAACGCCGCAGCAGCGAGTGCTAAAGTTAGGCTTGGCTTGTGCTTGGTTGATGATGTGGTAGATGACGATGGCGGGCTGAGCGAGGGTATAAGAGAATGAGAGCAAGATTCAATAATGATGGAGTCCAAGGAGGTCGAGCCAGAATCTTCGCAAGGACACTTTTGGAACTCCAGTTCCGGGTGGGTATTGACATGACGTCTAGGTTCTGAAGGGGATAGCCGGTTTCCGTCAGCATCCTCTGCTCTCACAGTGCGGCGCGTCTACGGAGTTAGAGTATAATTCAGTTCTGAGCGTGGCCATGGAAGAATAGAATCAACGCACCTGTTTAGGAACTGGTTTCATGGGCAGGTATAGCTCGCCGATTGAGAGACATCCGAGGTCAAGTTCGTCCGACTCGCTCCATCGCTGTTCGTATTCGGTTGAATCGCCATGCACGACGAGAACAGCACTATCTGTTAGCTGCCGTTCATGTCCCCAATCCGTCCGCGGGTAGGCTAGAGTTTGCAATAACGAGCCTTCCTTCCTTCCGGACTGCTTCCGATAATTTTGATTGGATCTTGAAGTGACCTCTTTCAGGTCATAGTCGTGATCATCGTCCCAGTACCAGGAGAAACTATGGGGTTCATAGTTTTGCTGGCTCTGAGGCGACGCCATGGTGGTGGTTGGAGTTAGAGATACTGCAAGCGATGTGTTTAAAATCATCAATTGACGGCGGATGTTGGGTATCAATATGCTCGCGTGAGTCTCGCGTGGCCAAACTCCTAGGTGCCACAGCTTATTCATTCCAAACTTATCGTTGCTCAAATTCCAACCCATCCCTAGCTCGAGAATTACATATCGAAAACGATGGCATCTCAGAGTAATACGCAAAGACAGCAATGTTCATTCTACTATGCGCCCGCAGTCAATGTCAGGTCCTTCACAACGATATGACTTGCCCAATCGAATTGAACCCACTTTGACATATGTAGAACGCCGTTCTCGAGAATGTGTCAGGATGTCATACTCAGAGGACGTAAAGAACGATGCTGTCCTCAACGCAAAAATCAGTCCCGGTGCGGTGTACTTACTGTGTAGCTCAAGAAAAATATCTTAGGAACGGGAGTAGTGTCTCGGGAGGGAGTCGAGCCCTCGGCTTCTCGGACTGTGTAACCACAACGAGATGATTTAACCACTAATCGACCAAGACCTATTGGACGAAGTAATTCCAAAGCTCAGGATCCCTCGTTCTACATTCTTCCATTGAGATCGCAAGAAGGGCGAGCTTGGAAGCCGAAAACGAAATTGAGCCCTTCATCTGCATCGTCCATCATGTAGCAGAGCACTTCGAAGTAGAATCGACCAGCTACAAACTTAGTTGAGGCTGACAACTCCAAGTCACACATCAGGGAACCAAAGCAACGAGAAACCACTGGAGTCGAGATAGTTTTGAAGCTTTACGCGGTGCTGGGGACCATCGGGCTGGTATATCAGTGAAACGCATCAACGATCAGTCAAGAGTTAGTAGAGCCTCTTCTAACAGCCAAGTATTATCGTCCTAGGGGCGTCAATCACCGTACTAAAATCTACGAATAAGACAGACTTTGGAGCTGCCCAACTGATATGCCACGTCTGAGAACGCGGTTCCTTGCGGTATTCCAGTTGTGAGATGACGGGCGCTTGCGTGCCAGTCACGTAATTGGCTTCGCGTCTCTTTCCTACCACCATCATCGCTTTACAAGTATGCCTTCAACTGTCAACAGAGACTTGGAGACCAAGTATCATTACCGCTCGTCCTACTAGTACCTGATCATCACGGTCCACGAGCCTCGTACACATGCCAAATCGTCAGGATATATGACTGGGCGCCCCATCCCGAGTTTTGCATATTGAATTCAACCATGATCGACTGCGACTGTGAAAACGATTGAAGGCCGCCTTCGGACCGAATACAGCTTCAGCTGCGTGCTCTGGAGGCCTGGCACTATAATTGCAAATGGCAACACTCGTGTAGAACTCGCGACATGACGGTCAACGGCAATTGGAACTTCCGTTACTGCGATTGGGTGAGGCTCATATGATGTCAACATCACATTATAGGCGAGCAGATCGCCGCCATTCGACACCCACATTCTTGTCCTCGAGCTCCTTGACGACCCTTGCTAGGCGTTTTACATTCTGCGGAAGGCTACTTGGTATGTAGGTGAATAATTAGATTTGGATATTAGCATCAACTGACACTGGGCGAAGGGGATAGACACCAAAATACCTCCAGTCTCACGGAAGCTGTCCAGAGTCGACAGAACATTCCGTTCCGCTCTCGATACGGAAAAATTCGTTCATTATTTCCTGAATCCGAGCGAAGCTTGCAAGCGAGCTTGAATGATGACGGAGGTGGCTTTGCGTCGTCTTGGCTCCGACAAGCCCGGATTTGAGCTTCTTTGAGCTCTCTGGCCTATTTCGATGAATAGCATAACTCAGGGCCTGAATCTCGGGGTTTGAGTCGCAACAGCTAGTATCGAAGTGAAATTCGAAAATCTTTCAAAGACACCAAACGGGCGATCGCGCACGACCTGACTCATGTTACACATGAAGCGCCCATGCGAGACGCACGCGAGGGGGTGTTTGTTTGACAACCCCCGGAGTTGTTTGTTACAGCTATTTTCATCTCCGAGTCTTACTCAATACCCGAGGTTCTCAAATAAAATGGGAACCAGGTCCAATTCTTTGACGCCGTTTTCCCTCCCCTCTTCGCTCTTCACTTGGACTACCAGACACTGCTCCCTCGTAGTTGATTAGGACATGGTGTCCCCGCGCAAGCGTCCTTCCTCGTTGAACCTCTTGCTCCACCTTAAATGGGACGCCAGCTCTAGTCGAAGCGACGAATCTGACGGTAGCGTCGACGACGATTCATCTTCTCGTTCTTCTCGTTCTAGCCACGATTCGGACCGCGACTCGGAGGAATCCTTTGGAGACAATCTTGGGAAGGAAGTTGAAAAAGAAGTTGGAAAGGAAGTTGGACAGACTGGAATGGCCAAATCAATGGAAACTTTGGAACCACAGATCTCTTACTACGATGAGTTTTCGCGTTCTGCGGACTTGTCTGCACTTTCAGTTACCTTTGAAGACGTGAAGGTACTGGACGAGGATCCTTTCGCGTCAGATCCGTTCGCGGCGACACCCCCAGTTTCTCCCATCTCACCTCGTTTCCCCCCAAATCCCGTGAGCCCTAGCAAGACTTCGACGCCCGCTCCGCATACCTCATTCCTTGAAACGGACCCCTACGCCAGCCTTCCAGCTTCTCCTCGTCGTCTCTCCGCCGCTCCTCTACCAAAACCTCCTTCCCACCAAAATTCGCATTCATTCACGCGCGTTGGAGCATCAATTCAATCGGTTCCAGCTCCTTCACGTACCCCTTCCAGCGCGGTTCTACGTCATAGTCCGCTATCGCCAGTCAAGTCAACGTTCGCGACACCGGCGCTGCCCTCCAATGATGCTCCAATACAACCGCGACGTCGTCTAAAGTCATCACCTCAACAACCCTCCCTTGACATGTTGAGTGTGTTCGTTCTGAAAGCGGCCCCCCACCGAGTGAGTATACCGTTTCCTCTTGTCCTAACTCTCTCATAACACTTTGGTCCTACAGCGTCCACGGGGAACAGTTGGTGCCAACCTTCCACTAGAGCCTTGGGGCTATTGTGAGGTCGACCTGACCGCACAATTTCCCGAGCCCTCACTGCGGTCTACATCTCATCTATCCATACGAGGTCATCAGGATGATGACCCATCTCAACGTAAAACATCATTACGCCCTACCCCTTCTGTTGATTCTCTCAAGGATGCGGCTTCGGAACACATCCGTCCGTATCATACACTTTCGAGAGCTCACAGTCGTAATAAGACGGTGTGGGATATCGGGAAGTTTTGGTGATTGTAAGTTCACCCCACCCCAGGTTTCACTACCTTCAACTCAATCTCTCCTCTGCAGCCGCAAATAGAAAAGCAACAGCTGTACAAAATTTGTAAAATAGCTCTAGATGGCCGCTGTATATTCAAGGTACGAAAAACGTCCGTAACCCGTGTCTTTCATTTCGTTACTGACCTGTTTTGTTACCCGCCGTTCGTGGACGTATTAGATTATTTGTTGTACCTTGAACTCTGTTCAACCTCACGTTCCTTACTGTTACAAATGCCAAAGCGACGCTGCGCCCAATCTCGGGGAAGTCCCCGTCAACCAGTTGTCTCCATTCGTCCATATGAGATCCCCGCGCGCCTACCATCCACAGATTCACATTCAGAACCCATCCTCCTCCCCGACAGACATTCATACCTCATATCACCCGACTCGGATCTTGTCGCCGTTATCCCTACCGCTTTCTGATATCTCCGCTGTACCCGACCTTCCTCGCATTCAAGTTCCTCCCGAGCCTCTTCCCCGCCCCCGTCCTTCTCTTCCCCCTTCACGATGCGTTTCTCTTTGCTCCCCACTCACTCACTCGGAACTGGCGGAGGACTCCCAAATACCATGACTATACCTCCATAGACGTCGGACGGAGTTCTATCACGTCTGAGACTGGTATTCAAGGAAGAAGATGGACATCCCGTTTTACGTTTTCCCGGTTCACTTGGGTAGGCTAAGGAACTTCGTGCCACAGATGGACCAGGATACCCCGCTGTCTCTCAATCAGCGGTTGCCTGTACTTTCTTCCCCCCGCATTGGACTTCTTAGAATCTAGAATCCCACTATTCTCTTCCTATTTCTCTTCCCCGATCCCTGTCCCGCTCGTTTTGGTCTCGTCCTTAATTCGTACTTAGCACTTAGTATCTTTATTCGGTATCTATACGAATCCTTCACGAGTCACGACCATTTACGACCATCACGAATTTTATGAACACTGCGTTGCTTTGTATCTATACACTTGTTGATTTCAATGTATCTAGTTGAGCCAATCCGAGTCTTTTCGACTCTCAGATGTCTTTTTTCACTCGTTCATTTGATGCCTGTTGGTGGTCGGTAGCCGAGTTAACGGTTCAGGAACTCAACGTCATCGTGATTGGCGCCAATAAGTGGCGCCCAGTCGCGTCTTCCATCCACCAGCTCACCTTGAGCTCACCGACACCTTTCGTCTCACCATTTTCAGTGAGTGTTTTCAAATTTGTTTTGGCACTAAAATTACAAATTAATGCACAAGTGATAGAAAAAAATATGATAGAGAGCGACTATTAAGTTGATTAATCCAACTCGGGGACTCAAACATCCATCACCTTCGACCTTCTGCGAATCATCATCGTCTGTTTTCTTGGTGGAATTTTAACATCTCCTAGTTGTTCATTTACTGGGCGGGTTGCCATTGGCTTGATCTCGTAGTTGAGAAGCATGTTCGCCATGATCAGCTTGAGCTCGTTGGCAGCGAAGAATCGACCGGGGCTGTTTGCGGGTTGATAACCTGGTCAGTATCCGAAATATCTCAAGGACGGACGTGTTGGACGACTCACCAAGAATGGACACCATGCGAGAACGTCAAGTAATGCGCAGAGGTGGTAACCATATCTTCATTCGTAGTCGACAATCCCTGTTCCTTGGGCCTGGAGAACCTGAAGGCGTCGAATTTGTCGGCAGTCGGTCCATAGTACTTCTCATCGAAGTGGATTTGTGCCTGTGCGACACCGACGGTTGCTCCCTTGGGGACCCACACTCCTTTTCCTTCCTTTCCGTTGACAGGAATAACAATACCATCGTCCTCCCAGACTCTTCTCGTGACAGCCGAACCGCCGACACAAGAGTATCGTCCAGATTCTCGGAGAGCACTGTCGAGTCTGACGAGCTTCGCGACAGCGGCTTTGGACCAGACTCCGCCGTGTTCCTGGTAGACACGCTCGACTTCCTCACGGAGCATCTCGACGACATTCTCAGAAGGGTCTGCGGACATTAT